TATATATATATATTTTACAATTGTATTATTCCGCACGTTAACTTTAAAGTATTCGAATGTAAATACAACTCTTTTTCTGAGAAAATTAGGCGGGAATTCATTGGAACGCATTCTTCGATATCCTCGATGAGTTGAAGTTGGCTGAAGTTATCGAGAAATCGCATATTGTGAAGAGGTCAGTGATACGATTTAAAATTGCGCTTTCTTATATCGATATATTCATAATCTGTTCTTATTTTAAGCAGTCTTAAGCTGCTAATATAATATTTTAAGACTATTTATTTACAACGTTTCTTAAATGTTTCTTAAGAATCGACTATAAATATACTGGCCTTAAAACCGTGAATTTAACTTTCGAAATTCGAATTTGTAGCCTACTTCAAGGGAGCGCAAAATTTGAATTGAATTTAGTTTGTTACCAGCGAGATGTCATTAAAAATAAGTGGAAAACGCTATATTCAGTCAAGATAGATCTTCGCATCTAATATTCTTTATGAATTTGTACAATCTTCAAAAACTATGCGCCAATTATTTGTCGACCGATATTCAAATATGGACAAATTTGCATAAAATAGATCTTTCAAAAAACGTTATTACTTACTTTCTGCTTCTGTTAAACTATCATAGTATGGCGCCAAAGCCTTGAATAATCTTTTTTCATCAACAAATGGAAGCAAAGCTACACCTTGCCAAGCAAATTTCTTTCCATTCAAGTCAATTTTAAAATCTTCTGGATAAAAATCAATGATCTGAGATTTCTGTGAATAAATAAGTTTTAGATAAAAATAATATCGAAGTAATTTATTATAAAAAATAATTTACTGAATTCTCATTTAATTATGTATATAATAATTATTCTTTAGCATTTTATTTTATTCATATTTAAACAAACCTATTCCTATTATATTATTTCCCTCTTTTTTCTTTTTATTTATAAAAATTATTATATTTGCTTTCAATATTATTTGAAAAAAGTACTAAAAATACTAAGAAATCAGTAATTTTAATTAGACTTTATTGAGATAATGTATGTATCTCAATAACATCAAATTTATCGAAGAAGATAAATCTCTTTTATCTAAATTATTTCTTTATGATAAGCAAGCCTCCAGCAATAATACTTTATCAAATCACTTTAATTCGATTATTTAAAATGATTAATATCATTTGTTATTTTCATTTTTCAAATCATGATAAAAAATACATACTGGATCTGTCATTAATTGCGCCCATGGTTTAGGTACATGTTTTCTACTAGCAGCAGGAAATACACCCATTAATTGTTCTAATGGACGAAACTGTAAAAAAAACATTAATTACACATTTGTAAGAAATGCTTGCATTTTACAAAGAATATGTAATACTTACTGGTACAGTACCCTTTTCAAATTCTGTAGAAAGACCGCCAATATTAATAAAATCGCTTGCAAATGGCGCATAATGATATGGGAAATACCATCGCCACGATGCACAACCTTGATAATAATATCGTAAAACCCAACATAAACCTCGTACATATTGTAAAGCAACGTTATTTCTACAAGCAAACAAATAGAACCAACATTAATATGAGATATACTTTTACAAAATAAATTCTATTTATAAAAAAATAAAAAACAGAAATAAAAAATATTTACAAAATTTAAAAACGTTTATAAAAATTATTCTAAAATCTATTCTATTTTTACTCTGTATTACCTAAATGCCAGATTATCAGGAGATACGTCGAATTTAGATTCATAGTATCGATCTTTAAAACCATCCTCCCAAAGTCGCACCTCATCATGCGCCTGGTCATCATCCGAGTCATCGTTCGAGACCTCATTAATTTTACGTTTCTGTCCTTTATTGCCCGAATTCTAGTAACAAAATAAAAAACTATAAGTTACAAATATTACATGTATATATATATTAAAAAACTGCAAGTATTTAAGAATATGGAATATTCACTGTTAAAAAAAACGAAATAGAATACCTCAGGTCTTAGCATGCTTTCCAAGACATTATTAGCGTTCGTGTTATCAGCGGCATTCGTATTATAATTCCTACCCTGCACACGCATTTTATAAGCTTCATAACGTGCATTCTCTATAGGTTTTACCGTTTGTCCAAGGGGCTGTAAAAATTATAAATATATTTTAAAAATTGTATATCACACTTTATTCACAAAATTACAAGTTATTAAATCTTTTCTTAGCAACATTCAGTGAGCTACTAATTTTCAAAATTTTATTTAGAAACATTTCAATTAAATCAATTTCAATAAAATTAATATCAGTTTAGTTTTTTGTAAATATAGAATGCATAATAAAATGAAAATCTTACAGTGGGTGCAAATTGACCTGCAGGAATCCACGTTGGTTTAAAACTACTAATGATCTCGTTTCTCTTCTTTTTGTCTTTTTCACGTTGTTTAAAAGCCAATTCATTTTGTTGCCTCTTCTTAAAGATTTCATCTTCTGCATCTCCAAGCTCTGACATTATCAATTGTACACGATCTAAATTAACGTCACCGCTATCTGTTAAAAAACCCTGGAAATAATTTAAAAAAATACTTTCTATAAACAAATATTTGCTTTAGCAATAATTAATATTCAATAAACATTTTCATAAATTTATGGAATATTTAAAGGTAAATCAAATTGATAATTATAAATGTATATATAAATGTACACAAATAGAGAGAGATACAATCTAGATCAAAGATATCTAAATCTTTTTTAATAAGAAATAATTAACAAAGAAATTTAGTATAAAAAATTAATATA